CGAAGTTTAGCGATAGCTGCTAGCGCCCCGCTAGCCGTTTAGCTAGTGAGCAGTTTAGCCAGTCAGCTCCCCAAACCCACAGTCGTTACAATATATATATATGAAGTGTCTTAAATACTACAAAAAATGCCATATTAATTGTGAAGCACCAACGTCTTGTTACTGTGGATTGCTCACGGAAAATGAGTTTAAAAAGATGAGCATATTAAAAGAAAAAAGATTGTATTTTAGAATAATCAATACTGCCACCTATTGGCCAAAACTGAACATGTCTGTCTTAGTTCTTTATCTAGAAATACAGAATCTATAATGAAAAAGTATTATTATTGATAAGGACAGACCATAAAAATCTATTTAGTAGTAGCAGTAAGCCATTTCATTTATCTTCTTTTCCACCTTTCAAATGTGAAGATTTGGGTGGGCAGAGCAAACAAGAATTAAAAAAAAAATCAGAGAAAGTTTAGATTCTGTGTGAGAATTGGAAAGCTGAAGCAGACGCTCAAAGTCTTTCCCTCTTTTGTAGCTTTTACAAGAGTCCAGAACAACACCACTTGAAATGATGACCTCAATAATTAAAATGTTACACATTTTAAAAATTGTCACCAAAAAGTGAACATGATGAGCCATCCAAAGATATGTTTATGTGATAGAACTCTGTCTGCTAAAAATGTATCGTATCCAGTTTTTTTATGATACAGGAGTGTTCTTTGGCTCTGCACCTTTAACACACACACACACACACACACACACACACACACACACACACACACTTGTGTGACCTTTAAAAACTATAAAATCGGAATTCAAGCTCTGACTTTAAAATCCATGATTACCGCCACCTAGTTAAGTTAGGATGACATGAATATTTGCATTCATGTTTGACATAGCTGAATTCTACTTTTAATATTTTAAAAGTAAAATAAAATGCCCTCTCATTTATGATGTTGTATTTTGAAACAGGCACATCATGGCTTGCCCTCAATGTGGAAATAAACTCGAAGGGTCATTTAACATCTGTCCTAAATGTGGCTTCAAGTTATCTGCCCTGACTGAAAAAAGTGCTCAAGGTAGGTGTCACATCATAACAGTAAAAATTATATTAACGCTAGTCCAAGGAGTTCATTTGTGGTACCACAGGTGAATATTTAACAGGTGAGAAAACTTACTGGACATAAAGCATAAGTGTATCTTTTCCACTATCAATAAAGACTTTATGAATATTTTCCCTCCACAGTATTCTAGTTTGGGTTGCTATAAAAATGTAAACGATTGTCTTGTCTTATCTTTAAATATATTTGCATAGTAAAAACAACCAACAACAACTTTTGCCAAATTCACCATTGTTTGATATATGTAACTAACCAAGCAATAATGGTTAAACAGATGGTGCCACATCAGCACATCCAATTTCAACCACTGCTGAGGAGAAAAATCAAAAGGAAGATCAAGACCATGCTGTTAAAGAAAGCACTACTCAAATACAGGTGACAAGGCTGAGAAATACATGTTATATTTGTGAAGTTACATATGTAATAGGTAATTTATCCAGCAATTTTGATTGAGAAATAAAAATAAAAATCCTCTTTTTGAAAGTGAAACCAAGGTTTCATACCAAAGTGATCAACTGCAGTAAACAAGCTCTTAAAAACAGAGTAACCAGTTTCTGCAGTCCTTCCACATTCAGCTTACGCAAATATTTCTTGTTCAGACAGTGTGCTAACTTACACGTTTCACTAAGGTATGAGACTGCAAAGATGAACCTTATGTTTGACATAAAAAACGGGAAAACTTTTTATGTGTATTATGGTCCATTTTGATATACAAATAAAAGTGAGTGAGAGAGAGAAAAGAGGACAGTAGGATTAGTAATGAGAGCTATGATACCTGTAGAGGTATGGAAATGTCTAGAAAACAGGACATTGGACTTTTTGAACACACTGTTTAACACACTCTTGAAGAGTGGGGGATGCTTGAGGACTGGACAAGAAGTGTACAAGGAGTTGAGAGATGAATGACAGATGGATTCATAGTGGGAGTGTGATTACATCAGGAATCAGGTGGAAGAGAGCTTGGAGAGGTTGAGATATGCTCTGGAGAAAAGAGGAATTAAAGTCAGTTGAAGCAAGACGGAACACCTGTGCATCAATGAGAGGGAGACAGGTAACAGTAAAGCTGCAAAGAGTTAGAGGTACTGACGATATCATGAGGAATTCTAAACCAGGTTTTTATGTTTTGACCTTCTATTTTAAGGACAGTGACTTTACTTAAAGTAAAATGTGCTATATAAATCAAATTGCAGTTTGAGTGGCAAGGCTGAGATTGTGCAGAGGAGAGATAATGAATATTTTGAACAAAGGATGTTGAAGATGAAGCAGCCAGACGGAAGAAAAAGATGAAGACCACAGAGAAAGTTAATGGATGTAGTGAAGGAGGACATGTAGAGTGTTGGTGTGACTATGACTAACCATCTGATTCCTGTATGACTTTTAGAACGTGATTTTCTTTCACTGTATATGTATACATTATGGTATATCAAATAATGAAAAATATATTCTACTTAGTACTTTTTACTTATTAACTTTCGCTTTTTCAAAGGTTGCTGATATTAATTCAGACGAGAAGACAGATTCAGAACTGACAAAGACACCGGAACCAGGAAATGAAGATGCAGGTATCTACAGGCAAAAAACTTCACCCTGCCTTTCTGGACCTCAAGTGGAAGAGAATATCTTGATGCCATCCTGTAAATTTCAGATACCAGAAGAGTAAGTGGCAGGACTACAGTATGTATTTGACATTATTTGACATATTAAACTATGAAATTAACATTATTGCCATTTTTTCCTCCTTTTTTCCAGTTCATCAATCAATGAAGAAATACTGGTGTACTTTCATGCTGTTATTTCTAAAGAATTTCATTTGGAACCCGAGAAAGACATGGTTGTCTTAAAATCTGAAGTGTTGTTTGGAAGCCGGGATGGTTTTATTGAAATGGTCCCCAGGTATAGCTTAATAGTTTTTTATAACTAAAAAAAACAACAGAGAGAGAGAGAGACAGAAAGAGTTTTACAAATTCTACACTGAGAATCAAAGAGAGTGAATTGCAATTATTTTTAATCATATTCCCTCCCCCCCCCCAGGAACAATTATTAGCCTCTGTGGAATTATTAGTTTGTCACTTCTCTGTATGTTCCATCTCTAACAAGAATGGTTTCTGTTTAATAGCCCTCTTGGGGACAACCAATATCTTATTGAAGGACAGTATCGGGTTCCCAAGGAAAAAATTCAAGAGAGCATTCCCTACAAATATGCAGTTTGCAAAAAGGAGTATGGCTTTATCTATGAGACCATCTACCAGAAAGAGAAAAATGACCTCATCAACAGGTGCCTAACCATCAATCCAGAGCTTTTAACAGCAGAAGGTATTTTGAATTTTATTGACGCAAATGTTCACATATTGGTTTACTACATTTGCACAACAGCACAGTGTGCTATCAATCGAAAAATCTAATGAAAAAATACCATGTTTGGTATGTTACCCTCTTTCATCCTCATCCCTGCCAATCACTACTTGAAAAAGTAATCAGTGTAGTATTCCTTGATAGTTTGTCATCTACAGGGAAGATGCATTTTTGTTCATCAAATGGACAGTTTGATAAATTTAGAGCAGCAATTAAAAATAAAAATGAATATACCACTCCACTAGCTCAGTTTATACACTGGCCTGGTCCCGGACAGGGGGATGGGGGTCATATTTTGTTAGACCTGTCATCGATTTGGCACTGATTTTTCAGACGTGTTTTTAGCTGAGGTATCATGTTATCTCCAGTAAACACGAACTCTATATAAGAGGTGTTCACAATTGAGTTACTGAAATGTTCTTTTGGTTTGTTTTTTTGTTTGGTTTGCTTTTAAAGGTGAGTGGCACCAATATGATGATATGATCCATCCCAAACCGAAGAGTAATTGGCCTTGGAATTCTACAGAAAAAACTGTGATAGAAGGGAGAAACTTTGCTGGCAAGGAAATGTTACAAATAATCTTTGATCTTCTCAAAACTTGGAATGAACAGAAAGTGGGAGAATTCTTTTCCCTACTGCAGCAGTTCTTTTATACATACAGTGGTCCTCTGCTTCATGATGGTAGAGAAAGACGATGGGGATTACCATATGATTCAAATCAGGTAAACAAATTTTATACTACAACAGGTAGCATTCCAAGATTCAATAATGCAAAAATTAAAAGTATTGAATAGTGTTTTCCATACTCCACTGTGTATTGGCATTAGTCCTAACATTCATCCTTTGCTTTTTCCAGGTGAAATACCTTCTTAAACATTTTCTGGACAAACACTTGAGTTTTGATGCCATAAAGAAGACAGCAAGAATACCACCTCTCCATGCAGGGATTATTGGTTTGCTTGTTTACAACAAGTATCTGAAGGACAGCATGACAAATCAACTTTCTAGTTTATGCAATCTTCTTTGCCTGCCTAATAAGGCAGAGCATCATTTTCGTTCTTTCTGGAATGACTTTGTAAAAGCTTTGTCATATGAAAACAGGTAACTTAAATATAGTTTTATTTTACTTATAAAATTAAAGGCATAATTATAATAGATAAAAGATTCTAAAATTTATTTTTTCATAGACAATAGTTACAAAGTAGTATGGTATCATCAATCTTGATTCTCATTGTCCATATCTGATCAAATATTTGTGTAAAATGTTGTGAGTTTTCCAGTGTAGTTTGGAATACTAGCATGTGAATTTGTCAATGACTTGTCTGACCACTGACATATTTTATTTATATAAAAGATTGGTTGCAGATGCAGTTGACACCCTTTGCCATACTGCTATGACACGCCGCATTGAGAAGTGGGTGTTGGTCATCCCTTTGGTTCATCTACTGACAGGAGAAAGCAAACCATATGAGCCAGTCCCACCTGTCTTGAATCCACAGTTTGACTCCTGGACAGGCTTGAAGAGAATCACAAGAACAGATTCATATGGTGCTAGTCATATGTATGCACTTATCTTTTATAAATACACCAAAATTCAGTTTAATTCATCTGCCCCCAATAATCAGCTCTAATTTTTAATCAGGAATTTGATCCAGATCATGGAAGAATATGACTACCTGATAGACATTGATCCTCTTCTTGTGCACTCTTGGATGTCTCTGATGGGAGTTGATTACCTAATGAAGGACAAATTGATTATGCGTGTTGAACTTCGAGACATTCTTCAGTATTTGCAGTTCATTGTCAATTCTGGCAACCGTAAACGCATGTGCATGGTATGTATTCTTAACAGTGGTATTTTGTTAGGACAGAGTGTCAAATATTAAAATGAAAAGTATTTATTTATACAATAATGTTAAATAGAGATTGATTGAGATTAATGTTAGTTTTATTTTGGTCCAGTTAATTATCGTTAATCATCTGCTGCACAAATTGTCTTTCTTTGGTTGTTGTTTTCAGTAACAATCAAGAAAACTAACTCATGGGTATGCTTAATGTGAATGGACTGATACTTATATCCCACTTTTCTACTCTTCTGGAGCACTCAAAGTGCTTTACACATCATGCCAGATCCACTCAAGTACTTTCTTCTATGCTTATAAGTGCTTTCTAAATAACATTCACACTCTAATGGATGCATCAGCGAACAACTTGGGGTTAGTAACTTGCCCAAGGGTATTTTGCATGCATACAGGGGGAGCTTGAATCACAAACCTTCTAATCAATAGATGACCTGCACTACCTCCTAAGCTACAGACACCCCAAATGTAGGATGAAAACAATAAATCAGTGCTGACTTTTGACTTCACACTGATTATAGATGATTATTATATTACTTCTCAGGTGAAAGTTGTTTTTTTCTTTATCATAATTATCGTTATTTGATAATTGTCAATTATCAATTTCGGAATCAACATTTAACTTTTTTTTTACTCTTTATATTATTCAATTGATCTGATATGTAAAGACCTGTGATTGACGAAAGTCCCAGTCACAGGTTATATTACCTAAAGCCTGAAAATGTCAAGGTGTGGCAGGCAGAATGTAGCACCCAAAAGCAAAACACTCAACGAAGGGATAAACTTCAAGAAGCTGCTTTATTGCAGTGGCAACTTGCACAAAAACACTTACAAAACTAAACCAAAGCCTAGAAACTGGATCTAATAACAAAACACTGGGAAACTATGGACGGCGACCTCAGGGAGCACAAGAGAAGAGACACACACAGATGAGGGGACGACACGACACTGACAAAGAGAAACACAGGGCTAAAATACACTGAGGGATAACGAGGGCATGGGACATAGCTGGGAGGAATCACACTTGATGAGACCAAGGGGGCAAGGGACCGTCAATGTAAAATGGCATGAAAACAGTGGGAGCACAGAGAACACACAAATAACAAAAACCCAGAAAACTCTAAAAAGTTATAAACGCAAAACATAAACATGAAGTCACTAGACTCTAGACCGTGACAGAAAACAATACGAGGAGCAAGTGTTTAGGTCTTTCCTAGACTACGCTGATTTATAATAGGCTGAAAGGTTATTTTAGATTTTATGTTCATGTATTCTAAGTACAATAAATACATGTTGTTGCCTACCCCATCTTTAACGATTTTGTGTTTTTCTATTAAATGTGTTCTGTTATTTTGCTGACAGGTTGTGAGACATTTGACATCTTATCTGATCAAGAAAGAGAGCAATCACAAGAAAAGGTAAAATGAAAAGGAAAACAAAGGTGCCTGAGAATATCATACAAGATCCCTGAAGAAGAATTTCAGTGTATTATTGCTGGCAGTCTTGTGCATATACAACAATAATATTAATATTTTCTTCCCATAGTTTTGATGACAAAGATGGAGAGTGCTGCCTGAAAACTGCAGTAATGCTTCTTGGTTCTATCACAAAAGACACAGAGTTCGGGGATCTTCCTCTTCAGTTCCTTGATCTAGTCTGTGTGATTGCCAAGGCATATGGCCTCACTGATTCCCAGGTGTGACTTACTTGTCCAAGTTCTCACTTTAAGACACACATATGTATATATATATATACAGAATAAGTTGACATGGTGTGATAAGTTTTTTTTTTCATAATATCTTTATTGATTTACAGACAAGAAAGATAATTCATGAAGAGTCAGTCAAGGACACATTACAAACAATGAGGGTATGGCAGACAAATACCTTCCACAACAAACTGCTTAAAAAGCAGCATGTTTTGCAGTTTTCTCTACCCAGTGAAATACAGGTAAGCAGAAATTAATGTTAGTAATATCTTATTATCTTTTATGGTTTAGTGTACATATTGTTCTTCTGACATCAATTAAGTAGCTACTAATAGAAGGGGGAGGGGAAGTAGCTCACCTTACTTACAAATTAAGGAATCTGTCTAACAACCAGTTCAGATAACATAAGTCCATCTGTCCATCTGTCTTTTTAACCACCACAACTCAAAACTAAAGATTTTCAGGAGCTTGACAAAATACAAAGTAAGACTGAACATTTTACATCCGGCCATGTGTTTATGCATTATCATAATTCATTTCATAATATAATTGAGGACTAAAATGCACCTTTTACAATGATGTACAATATATTAAGCTTGGTAGATACTTTTTAGTAGGCTGGTTGAACACCAAGAGATAAACACTGGAAATTTGGTGTTAAAAAATATTTTGTACCATATTTTTTTTTGAAGGTAAGTAGATTCATAAACTCACTCTTTCTTTGTCTCAACAAGAACACTGAATGAGTTTGCAAAGAACCAAATTGATTCTGGGATACAAACAATTATGCCATTAGGTTAGTACTCCCTAAAGTCTGGTCCTTGATTTATCTCAAAAATTCTTGAAAGAGTAGTTGTAATACAGCTAACAGATCATCTGCTGAGGAACAGCTTATTTGAGTTTCAGTCAGGTTTCAGAACTCATCACAGTACAGAAACAGCATCAAAGAAGTTTACACTTATGATCTCTGTTAGTGGACTCCTTTCTGTTCTTGTCCTGCTAGACTTCAGTACAGTGTTTGATACTGTTGGCAACAGCATTTTATTAAACCAAATATCATATGACAAAGCATTTTATAGACACACCAGACCACTGAAGCAAAGCATTCTATACTTTGCTTCTCCAAAACATGAAATGGACATGCATGCAGAAGTTGTATTACTGCATGCAGAAGTTGTATTACCAGCAGGGGGGATAATATATTTATATACACAGAGTTGGTAGTGATAAAAAAAAAACATATGAAGTACATTCCAGGGTCCTTAATTGGTGGAAACAATTCAACTAGGATGGTATAAATATATGTGTATGTTCGAATTCACTTCAATTTTATTTATATAGTGCCAAATCACAACAAAAACAGACGCCTCAAAGCGCTTCATATTGTAAGGTAGACCCTACAATAATAAATACACAGATGAAACGATAGCACCATTATACCCCCCCCCCCACCCCCCCCCCCCCCCCCCCCCCCCCCCCCCCCCCCCCCCCCCCGATGTCAACCTTTTTGGTGGACAGTGGGAAGGAAAAACTCCCTTTTAACAGGAAGAAACCTCCGCAGCAGAACCAGGCTCAGGGAGGGGCGGCCATCTGCTGCGATCAGTTGGGGTGAGAAGAAGGAAAACAGGATAAAGACATGCTGTGGAAGAGAGCCAGAATTAATAACAAGTGTGATTCAATGCAGAGAGGCCATAGTGTGTCAAAAAGGTGGCTGAAAAGGAAAAACTCAATGCATCATGGGAGTTCCCCGGCAGCCTATGCCTATTGCAGCATAACTAAGGGCTGATTCAGGGTCACCTGATCCAGCCCTAACTATATGCTTTAGCAAAAGGGAATGTTTTAAGCCTAATCTTAAAAGTAGAGACAGTGTCTGTCTCCCATGTGTAAATGTGTTAATAATGTCTATTTAAATGTTTTCCCATGACTATTTTCATGTTAGCTTGAAATATAATATGTTCCTCTGCTGTTACTGCAACTTCTGCATGCATGCACTTTTCACATTTTGGAAAGGCAAAGCTTGAAATGGACATGGTGGACCATAGTGTCTATTACACGCTTTGCTGTGATATCAGCTTGTTTTATTGAAGTGATTAGAGCATGCTCTAGGTATTACAGGTACTGCCCTGCAGTGATGTAGAATAATTTCTATCTAATAGACTCCAATTTGCTCATGTTACTAAAGAGCCCTCATCACACAAAGGTTAATTATGGAGTTCCACAAGGTTTCATGCAAGGGCCAATTGTGTTTATATTTTACATGCTTCTCCTAGGCAGTATCATTAAGATCAAGGCATACCATATATTTTCACTGCCATGCAGACAATAGCCAACTTTATCTATCCATGAAGCCAAGCAATTACAAAAACTACAGGAATGCCATAAAGATAAAGACCTAGATGGCCTCTAATTTACTGATTCTAAATTCAGAAAAAGCTGAGGCTATTGTACTCGGCCCTGAAAATCTTAATATTGTACCTAACCAGATACTTATGGCATTATCTTGGCCTCCAGCAACACTGTGAGAGTCAGAGTAATGATAGAAAGACACTAGAAAGAGAGAGCATATTTCTTCTATTTTGGCTTTTCTTCATTGGCTCCTTGTTAAATCCAGAATCAAATTTAAAATCATCTCATACAACATCTTGAATATTTATATTCTAAAGAGCTTATTTAAAGAAATTTGCTCTCCGACGGAGGGGTTCCAAGGATATTTAATAGAAGAATATGAGGCAGAGCTTTCAGCTTTTAAAACTTTTCTCTGTGGAAACAAGTCACAGTTTGGATTCGGGAGACACACACCTGCTCTGCTTTTAAGATTAGGCTTACCGTATTTTTTGGACCATAATGCGCACCAGATTATAAGGCGCATTAAGCGAAAAAAAACAGTCAGATAAGTCAAACTTTACTCAACTCATTCTTCTTGCTTCCTCCACTTCCCTACCATTGTTCATTAATGTGGAAAAAAGTTAGCATTCATTCTCCAGCTTCACTGTGTTTATGTTATGCTAACATAGGTGTGTTGCTAGCGATCACGTAGCACATCATTATATACCAACTAGTCCAACTTCAGTAACCCTACAAAAATCACTTGTTTAGTTTTCTTTCTTCATTTATGTTGGAAGTAATAGCAGAGATTCATCCATCCATCCATTTGCTTTCGCTTATCCTTTTCAGGGTCGCGGGAGGCGCTGGAGCCTATCCCAGCTGTAATAGGGCGAGAGGACAGGACAGGTCTCCAGTCTGTCGCAGGGCTAACACACAGAGACAGACAATGATTCACACTCACATTCACTCCTGCATTCACACGTGAGGGCAATTTAGATTAATCAGTTAACCTATCCCCAAAAACTGATGCCACAGTGTTCGTTTGGCTTTGGGACCTGAACCGGACGGCGTTTTGGACCCAGATTACTCCACGAGGCTCCTGACTACGGTAGCCGTAATGCTCCGACAATCAATCAAGCGGTGTGGCTTTGTAGCTTACCAAAGTCGTAAAACATTTTTTGACAGACTTTTGAACGCCGTGTACCACATAAAATCGGTTCGAGATCACATTTCTGTGCTTTATTTCGGTGCTTTTTTTTTTCCATGAGATGTCATACACTTTGGATTCATGCCAATCATTTTATGTTTCTGAGGATAGTAGGCGGGCCCAGGTACGTACGTTCTTTTAGAGCAGAGCTACAGCTTAAAAATGCCCAAGGCGAAGCGGTCAAAAGTCTGGCTGTACTTCACAGCAAAAGATGCAAACTCAGCAGCCTGCAACAAGTGCTTTAAGGTGATACTGTGCAAAGGAGGTAACACCTCGAATCTGATAAAACACCTGGCGACGCATAACAGGTTTTTTAAAAGCCGAGAAATGCACCGTATTTGATAGCTTGCTGCAAGACTGAGCACCACAACTACTGCAGGTGTGGTGCCTGTTATCGGCCCCAGAGTTTGCGACATCTGCCAAAAACCTGAAGAGGAGAGTCCAGCCCTACCCCTGCCTGTGTAGCAGAAATGATGACCATTGATGATGGCAACAGCAGCCGTTCTTCTCTAGGCGAGTAGCTTAATGTTGTTCGTGTGTAATTTACATTGAGTAGGCTAACCACGTTATTACATTAATGCATGTAAGGTGAACTAGCAAACACCATTGTAGTTACATGCGGCTGTCTTCTTGTTTGATAGTGATACCATATATGCCCTATAGCTGCAAAAAAGGCTAACATTGTTATCTTTTTACAAAAAAACCCCCAGCTAAATATGAGAGGTTTTAGGACAAAATTTGTATTTTGCATATACTATTATATACTGTACATATATTTATTAGTTTCAGATTTAGCCATTCTTGTATTTTGTATTTTGCTTGTTTATGTTATTGTATTTTGCACAACTCTGTTGCTTGTGAAGCTCGCACACAAGAATTTCACTCACATGTACTGTACCAATGTATCTGCACATGTGATGTGACAATAAAAGTGATTTGATTTGATTTGATTTGTATTTTCCATTGTTTAAGCACCGGTTCCAACCAAAGGAGGTATGTTGTATCAACAGAAAAGGTTAACTTGGCTATCATTTTGCAGAAAAAAAGAGACTTCTAAAAATAAAAACATAAGAGGTTTTTGGACAAAGTTTGTGTTCTCTATTCTTTAAGCACCGATTCGAGCACCGTTTAAACAGCGGCACCATTTCAAAAGTACCGGTATTGGATAAAACCTAAACGATACCCATCCCTATTCATACATAAGGCACACTGGATTATAAGGTGCATTGTCGAGTTTTGAACAAATTTAAGGATTTTAAGTGCGCCTTGTAGTGTGGAAAATACAGTACAACTATAAAGCATATAGTTATGGCTAGATCAGGTGACCCTGAATCTTCCCTTAATTACTCTACAATACGTCTAGACACCTGGGGGCTTCCCATGATGCACTGCTTATTTTTCATTCACCTTTTTCCCTCACCACTTTCATCTCTGCCTCTCTACCACATAGTTTCTTTTGTCCACACTCCTCTCACCCTCGCAGCAGATGACTGGCCCTCCCTGAGTCTGGTACTGCTCGAGGTTTCTTCCTGTTAAAAGGGAGTTTTTACTTCCATTGTCACCAGGTGATTGCTCATAGGGGTTGTCTGATTGTTGGTGTATTTGTCTGTGATATTTTAGGGTCTTATACCTTACAATATGAAGCACCTCGAGGTGACTGTTGTTGAGATTTGATGTCCCTACCATCCATCCATCCATCCATCCATTTGCTTCCATTTATCCAGGGTCGCAGGGGTGGAGAAGCCCAGACCCCCCCCTCTCCCCAGCCACCTCCTTCAGCTTGTCTGGTGGAACACCAAGGCATTCTGAGACCAGTTGAGAGATATAATCTCTCCGACTTATATTGTATTGGGTCCTGTGTTTGGTGTTGTTGGTGGTGATGTGTACGGCTGGTGGCAGGAGAGCTGCAGCCCTTGAGTGTACTGTTACAGCAACTGTGTGTGTGTGTGTTAAATAAAGTATGCGGCAAAGCATGTTCATGCCATCGGGTCTGGGTCTGCCGTGGCCCTCCTCCTGGCTCTTGGCACCACTGTGAATGACCACAGTGATTGCGGATGCCGTGCAGGTGCGTCCTCCTTCCCTGTACGGCACCGAAGACCACACCCCGCCACAATACTATATAAATAAAAAATGTAATTAGAATTGAATGTCCATCCATCCATCTTCTTCCACTTTATCTGGGGCCGGGTCTCATTTTTCTTTTAGGCATGGAGCAAATTACTCTCAATATCTTTTAATTATGAGGAACACACTTCATTATGGAGAACCACATTCATGGGTGATTTTCAAGAAAAACTGAAAGAGGTGAGACTGCATTATGTTTATATTTTCATGGTAATGTGAAACTGGAAAACATAGTGAGGCTCTGTGCTTGTGTGCTAGGAACATCCTGTGGATCAAATTGGAATATACTGTAACAAGATGGACAAGATGAGCAAGGAAAGTCCATTGTTGTGCAGCATAATGGAGAACTGTGCAATGGAGGCTGCTGCACATATTTGCCAGGTATGATTTCAATCAATGACAAATGGTTAGCAATGTCATGTAATATAACTGTAAGTCCCATGTAAGCAACAATATTTTCACACTCTTGGGGTGCAGAGGACAATTGCCTTGCAGGGGATATTGTCCATGTTTCCTTTTTTCTTATTCCGTCCATCCATCTAGTTTCTTCTGCTTATCCGGGGCCGGGTTGGGGGGCAGCAGCCCAGCATCCCTCTTCCCGGCCAACTCCTCCATCTTGTCTGGCTCCTACCTCAACTGGCACCTTTCGATTTGGAGGAGTAGCAACTCTACTCTGAGCCCTTCTCAGGTGGCAAAACTCCTCACTCTGTCTCTAAGGGAGAGGCTAGCCACCCTTTGAAGAAAGCCCATGTCCACCGCTTGTATCCACAATCTTGTTCTTTCAGTCATTACCCAATGCTTGTGATTGTAGGTGCAGGTATGGATGTAGATCGACTGGTAAACAAGAGCTTTTACACTCAGCTCTCTTTTCACCACGACGGACCAGTACAGCACCCACATCACTGTAGCAGCAGTACAAAGCCGTCTGTTGACCTCCCACTCCCCTGACTTGTGAACAAGACCCTTAAATACTTAAACTCCTCCACCGGGGTTGTATCTCGTCTCTGACCTGGAGTGGGCACCATCTTTTTCTGACTGAAGCCTCAGACTTAGTGATGTTAGTTCTCATTCCTGCTACTTCACACTCCCCTGTATATATTAATCACCATCTGTGGGTGGATAGCAAAGAAAGAAGATTGTACAGAGAAATGCCCTTTCTCTTGTGACACATGACAATAAACACTTTGAATCTTGAATCTTGAACCACTCTGGTGTGAGCTGGAGGCCACCACCTGAAGAAACCAACAGAACCACATTATCTGCAAAAAGCAGAGATGAGATTCTGAGGCTTCATGCACCTCATGTCTAGAAGACCTCACTTAGAAGGCATCCAGGAGGAAGATGCCCAAAACACCTTAATTGGCTCTTGTCAGTGTGGAGGAGCAGCAACTCTACACTTAGCCCCTCTCAAATGGCCAAAATTCTACACCTTTCGCTAAGGGAGAGCACAGTCAACCGCAGAGGAACCTGATTTTTGACAGTGTTGCTTTCACACTAAGCTCACTCTTCTCCAAACTAGACCAGTGCAGCACCCATACCACTGCTGCTGCTTCATCCAGCTGTCAGTCTCCTGTATGCCCACCCCTGCTCGCAGACTCACCATTGCTCTCCAGATGGAAAACACTTATTGACTGCTTGTGATTAAACTTGTGATTGATCAGGGTCATAACTGTTGATTTGGTTTCAGTTTAATTTAATTTCAAGACATTAAGTGAAATAAATATTTGATTTTAAAGCAAACCATGACTTGATGGAGAAACCCTCAGTGGGGAGCACGTTGATAAGACATTTCTTAAAGTTGGTTATCAAGATTCCACTTATCTGAGGAAGGGTATCGGCCAACTCCACTTAAAAGAAACTCTAACTCTAACTCTTCCTTAACTTAATATGGCTCTTCTTAACTTCCACTGGAAGACCCAGCCACAACCCAACTTCCATGGTTTTGGTTAAGGAAAGGAGGTTCTCGTCTAAGGTTTTACAGTACATGGCTCTGTCCATTGGCCCCTCAATGTGGTGAAGTCATCCTTTATATTCAGCAAAAAAATGTTTCCACCTCCATCCTGGACAGTGGAGATAATGTTCTTTGGGTCATACTCAGCATTTCTGTTCATCCAAATATTGAAGGTTGAGTTGAAAGTTCTGCAAAATTTCCATCCATTACAATGTAGTATATGACCAGTTGTGTTTTTGATCACTCTGGTCACAACTGCCTTCACATCTTTAAAATAGCTAAATTTGGAGATGATCCACCACCTCATGATGATCCTGACCACATGAGACAAGCTCTTTTGAGCATGGAGCTCCAGACTGAGGGAAACCGATGATCATTCTATATTTCTTCTCTTTTCAAATAATGACAGTAACAGTTGTTACCTTCTTGCCAAGCTTCTTGCTGATGGTAGCTCATTCCAGCCTTGTGCAGTTCTACAATCGTCTCCTTTGACGACTCTTTGGTCTTGTGCATGGCGGTGAAGAGGAAGAGAACTACCAACATACCTGACGTGGGTCTGTGGGTCTTTTGAAAGTTGTCTACATCTACAAGTATTTTCCTTTTTCTCTCTCTTTTTATCAACATGAAAGCTGTGAAGAGTAAAATCATTTCACTTGTTTTCTTACAAATGGAAATTATAACCAACACCAATAGTTTGCCACTTTTCCACATTTTTTCCAACTGTTGCTTTTAAATTCATATTGCATTTTTAATTAATTAGTATTTATGACAAATGCAAAACACACTTAGTTTTAATTGTAATTACTTCTTTCTGTACAGTAAAAATGATCATTACAGGCACAATTTGCAAGTTAATAAATGAATCTTTGAGATGTTTCTGCTTGTCTTATTTTTCTTTTTTCTTTTCTTTCCACTCAGGATACATCAGCTATGTCAAACCTCATGACAAGATATGATTTCACAAAATTTTTAAAACTAATGTCAGTTGTTGTGATGGAGTCATGGCCCAAAGATGAAAACGGACATGAGATACAAGACGAAGAATTGGTATTTGACTACCTCATGAGCTGGCCCATGGCCAAAACCATCCTCAAAATTGCAGGTAAACTGTGAAATAAAAAAAGAACATAACATGAAATACACCTTGAATGCTCTTTAGTAATGTCTAGGGTATGCATAAGCTTTCAATTTTGTATATTACCGTACTCATTTTGAAGGAACATATTCATTGGAAACATGAATGCACTTTTGAGACAAATTCAGAATGTGAGGACTGTTTGCAACTTAACTGGAGGGTGCCTGTTTAAAAATTTAATCAAACGGAGATGAACAGGTTTTTGTAGTTGTTGTTGTTGTTGTTGTTGTTGTTTTAAA